AAAATGCTTTTGGATATGTACCATTAGAGACAATATGACACTATTCTATAATAGCAATGGAAACATTTCTGTTAAAGCCAATCGAAATTCAAGCAATGTACGGGATTCACTCCCACGCTTCCCCAACTGAAGGGAGATCAGAAGGAGTGTCTGTCTTCTTTAAATACAAAACGGAAGTGATCGACACGTACAAAGAAAACATGGTATTCATCCAGATAAGCATTGACCTTCATGGGACTACACATCGCCCCAAAATGGACAGCTGATGATGCCATAGAAAGCATTTAAAGGCCAACAGCAAAAACAGCAGGTGACAAGAACGTGATAGTAGTAGGCATCAACTGCATAATATACAAGACAAATATGAAAACGAAGCTGGTGCTAGAAACCTTTAGGCAAGAAGGCTTCTCATTAGTTAACAAAGAAAACCTAACAATCTACTTTGCGTATAACGGAGCTAGCGCTATTGATAAAATCTTAGGTAGAGGAAAGGAAATAAGGATATTGTAAGGAACTAAAAGGAATATGGACATCTGCTTCCCTAATAAGAAAGCACATGCCCATAGAGATAACTATCGGTATACACAAACCATCACCAAAATCAAGAAAAGGACCACTGGCAAACCCACCCAGAAAGATGATAATAAACCCAGATAAACTGAAAACACGGGAGAACGAATTACAAAAGGCAACAATGCTAATAGCAGATGGACAAGTAAATAAAGCAACGACAATAGCCAACAACATTATACAGAAATCTACCTTACCGATCAGAGCAAGAAAATCTCAACCTTGGTTTAATAAAGAATGCTTCGTCAAACGGTAGGAGACACTTCGAGCTTTACATACAGCCAGGACAGAAGAAAGCAAAGGAGTTATAACTATGCAGAGGAAAAGAAAGCTTACAAAGTACTTATAAAAGAAAGAGCAGACTTCTCCGAGGAGAAAAATAGTTGAAGCAAGAGCAGATCTCTTCATAGCTCTAAGAGATAGAAAATACCTAGTCAAACCCACAGAAATACCCATAGCCGCATGGAAAGAACACTTCAAAGGAAACAAGCAACTAGCTTAAAGCGCACACCCAACAGGACCAAACTGTGAAGGAAATGAAATCGACTCCCCACAAATAACACCCGAGTGTTACACCCCCTTCATGGCCCTATAACAAAGGGTAGTATTATAGTTTCCATAGACTAAAAAAAGCATTTGATCTGATAAACAGAAAATACCATTAAAAATCGAAAAAATAGGAAAAACACACCCTCTCAGTGTAATTATAAAGAATGCATGCAAAAAATAAAATTGACGGAATAACTGCTCCGAACATAATCACGCAAAAAATTAGTGTTATAGGGCGTTCACTCCTCTAGGAACCTTCTTTTAAAACATGCCTTACACAGAGGTTTAGAACCCACAGCTTGGGTTGCTGAACACTATTATCATGTGGAACAATTATGTGCATTTTGAGTTATGAGAGCATAGTACCAAGTTTTGATAGTCGGGTGTTATAATTATAAATAAACCACCCTCTTCACTACAAAAGTGGATGAACCATTTGCTGTGAAAAGTCCAGAAAAGGTATTTGAAAGTCCCCTGAAAAATCAATTTTCTTTTTATTTACATTCATGTCAGTTTTCTTTTATTGAATGCGAGACCATGTTAAAGCATTTTCCCACATATGATAATAAATTTTGATATTTCCCGGACTCGCGTACGTGCATATAACTAAGCGAAACTTGGACATATCTTTAGTGATGTCGTCGCGTGAGCCGTAAACAAACACTACGAAGGGGCGTAACCAAACAGCTGGCGCGGCGGAGGGATACTTCTCTGAAGTACACCTGATGTTCACTTGTTTCGCGAACTGTCACTTTATCCCATTCTTCAGAAAATCGGAGATTTTTCGCACGGCGAAGCGTTGTAGCAATCGGCAGCGATATCGATGTTGGACATGCGCACCTGCTCATGCGCAGAAGATCGAGATTGCAGACTTGCTGTACGCTATGCCGTGCAAAAACTTAATTTGCCTAAATACCCTTTAAAAATTTACGATTAACAGGCGGCTTGCTTGTAGCTTATCCTGTTACTACACCAAGCCCTTCAATTGGGGACGTCTGATTGAAAGCGCATGGTAATGACATAAATATTTCCCTTCATTACAAGATTTCTGCCAAAGGAAGCCAGGAAATCAACTTAAAATAGCTCCTGCGTTCATGTCATTTCTTCTTTTAGAATAATTGCTCGTAAACGATTATTCCGTGAGCATTTTCTTATAATATAGTCTACAAAACAGAAGACAATAAAAAAAGTACCAGTAATTTAAATTCAGACAGATGAAGATCTCCGAAAACTAGAACATTATACTCGGAAATTTTTATTTCAAAACATTTCCGAAAGGTACAAAAACGCATTAAAGAATTTGAGAAGTTACGGCTCAAAGCAAACTAATTCTTAAAAGTATATTTCATTGAAGGAAAGATTGTGTAACACATTAATGAAACTAGGGTAATTTACTTTAACGCAGCAGTAACAAGAGTGTTGTTCGTGAGTACACAAGTTACGGGTTACACTCAATGCGCGACGTCCCCTCTCAGCCAACGACGAGTCACCTTTCTGTACCGTTATAACGGGTCACTCGGTAAAATGTGGTCGTGTTTCCTACTCGACTCCCGTATAAGAAGGCGGCGCACAATCTTTGAACGAGGCCAACAACGCATCGACAATACTACTGATCTCAAACGGTTCAATAATATAAAATACAATTTGAAATTAGCTCAAATCCATGTTGCACGAGTACGAGCATACGGTTCGCCAAATAACGACTTATTAATATGTACACCAGGAAGGATAAAGAGAAAAAACATCCCTTGAACGAAGTTAGAATTTCTGCCAACAATTCAGCACTGTAGGCATCAATTTTAAGAACTCGCACACTTTTTAAAGCAAGTAAATGTGTTCCGGATTTTCTTTTCTACTATTAAAATTTCCGGGGGAGAATTCTTCAAATATCAATTACATTGTAGTAAAAATTAGTGGTTTGCACAAAAATAGATATACACAATTGTGTTTCTTTATTTGCATTTTAATTACAAACTTTTTGTAAGTATTTGTATTTTTGCATTTAATGCTAATTTTACTGAATTAATACTTTTGCAGCAGCACATTGTTAACGATTCTGCACAATCTAACTGTGAAGTAAATAGCACATCACAATGAAGAAGTTAATAAAAACTTGCATTTAATACATTCAAAAGTTACAATGCTACTGTCATCCTAATCATTCAGAACCTCTCCATGGACATATAGAATTTTGTAATTCTTTTCAATGGCTTCCATTGTTATCAATGTATTTTTATAGTAATTTTATTATGTTGTCATTGACCATTAATTGGTCTATTGACAATTCTTGTGCCTATTTTACTATTAACTAATTTTGAACCCTGCAAATGAATTTTGAAGCCTGAAGGTGTGAAATGATTAATTTACAAAATGTTGTGCAACAAATTGTAATGTATTTAACTGCAACCTTCTTTAACTAATAATAATAATATTTATTGAGTCACATATACAATTACAATCATGTATGACTAGTCAATATGATGTCTTGGGTGGAGTGAGTGAAGTTACATTACTGTTCAGGAGTAAAAAAGGGGCCACTTAAACATTTGCTCAAGGGACCAGGGAAACTGAACAAAACCTGATCGAGATGGAGTCATTGGCCTAGAAATTATACTACAATACTTGTTACTGATAGATTAAAATATTATACAGTAGATAATTATTTTTAGTAGCAGATAATTTAACATTTCATGATGTTATTTTAATGCTACTACTTATAATAATAATAATTATTATTATAATATAATAATAATTTATTTCCAAAAGAATTACATTGACATTGTACAAAAACCATTACCATAAAAACAATCAGAAAGAATATCAATCTTGTTTGTCTACTTTACATACATTATACATCTTGTTTAACCTTTCAGTAAAAATACTGGTCTTATCAGATTTAAATTTTGATTGATTTTAAATATTTCAGGGAGGGTGGTTTCATATAAAAATATGGAATTTACAATTTGTGTAATATTAGTGTTGGGTTGGTGTGTTTTATTGTTTAGAGAGTGTAGAGAGATTAACTTATTACTAATTTCTGAAAAGTGTTCAGTGAATATATCAGCTATTTCTTGTGGATCTCGAAGCTCTTTTGTAGTGAAGCTCTATATATTTTCTGTTTTTATTAGTTGGTGATGTAGTCTTTTTAATAATGTCCCACATTGTCTAATAAAAGACCTATGTTTAACATATTTTGAGAGTTTTATAATATTTGTCTAAAAACGAGAAAAGGATTCTCTAATTTAGGAGTTAATTTTATTTTGCCTCAAATATTCTACTTTAAAATGTTCCTACTATCTCCCACTATCAAAGGCAACACAGGTGATTTTCACATGTCTAAATTGACAATGAGAGTCTGACTGGGAAATGCTTCATACAGCTGAATATAACAATAATTGTAAAAATATATTCTTAAACCTACTATTATTACACATAATAAAGTAGTATTATTACTCATTGTACATATAGAATTAAATTCAATAGACTGTCTTAAAAAGGCAGAAAGCTTAAACCTAAATGAAATTGAAACTTGACCAAAATTCTCCTTTTTTCTCTGGGCTTGTTCAAGAATGCCTATTTAAATCTACATCACCATCCATTAGACATTGTTATCATAAACATTATTATTCTTATAATTGTTAGCAATATAGATTCCTGTCTTTTTCTTATATTGATTTTAAGTAAAAAACAATCTGACTCACCATTCACTATTTTGTACATGTGACTTAACAACAAAATATATTACTGCAATCATCATCAAATCTCCTTTTTAAGGACCTAAATAGTGCAGTGGTTTGTTGATTAAATTTGTTGGCAGCAAAGAATAATATTCTACTACTGTTAAGCAAAAAAGTTATATACTGTTTTTTTATACTCTCTAGGACGAGGTGGAGACAGCTTAATAGGTCGTGATACCTGTGGAGGAACTCCCGCTCGTCTCTGTAAGACTCGATACAACACTACTGCACCAATGTATGGAGTTTCTCTTACTTCAGGACAGCCCGTGACCATTGTTCAGAAATTTCCAGATTTACTTCAGCAAGTGGTTTTTGAAGTTTGCGAGTAAGTACAATTCAATAAGAATAACAGCACATGAGTAATGTTTTTATTTCTTCTTCTGAAATGCAATTCCTAGAGTAAGTGAATGCTATTGTTTTGCTTTGGGAGTCTAACATTTTTTTCTTTTCCTGCTTTTTCAGATCTAATGAGTGTGATGTCGTTAGAGGTGAATGCACGCAAACATACGTGCCTTACCTTTTTCTAGTGATTCCTCTTGGACCTGTGACCTTAACTGGTCAAGACTATGTTTTGGTAGAAAGTGGGTGTGTATGCAAACCAAAATATGCTGTTCCCAGTGGATCAGAACCAAGTGCTATATCAGCTATTCCTCAACTCTAAACTAGAAGATAAATGAAAATATGATGTAATTTTGTTACTGTCAACATATAGTCAAGAAAAGTGGAACAATCATGAACATGATTGCAGTTCCTACAGTAGTGTAAATGAAAATGAACAAAAAGTATGAAAAGTGAATTGAAGAATATTGTGTGATTGACTGGAATTCCATTTTTGAATGGGAGAGAAAGAAAGAGAGACACAGTTGAAAAATTATGTAATTATTATTTTATCCCTAGTGCAATTCAACTTTAGTTAATGAGATACATCAGTGTTTCATGGCTTCTTTTGTTGCAATTTTTATTTCAGACATTATTGAAATACCAACAACAATTATCATATGCCCTTTTCTCTCAACAATGTCTGATGTGTGAGTGGAGATTTTTTCATTAATGAATCAATGAAAAAATCTAGATATTTATTTAATTATTTATTTATTTATTAACTTGCTGAGGCAGAAATATATTACACATTTTAAAGAGTTGTGTGCTTCCAGATTATTGTAATTATAGTTCTATTTACTTGTTAATTCGATTCATTCTAGAAGTAAGTTTTCATTGAAACGGACTTGTATGAACGATGCTAATAAATTACTTTTTTTTTAAATTTTGAAAATGCCTCCTAGAGTCCTTCAAAATGCTTGGAGTCATCAAATTAATTGTGAAAGTTTCCTTGAATTGTTTATTTCAGAAAGCCGACAAATGCCAAATTCCTCATTTCAAGAAAGCTGAGAGTAAGTTTCTCAATTTTTCAGATTTCAAAATATTTTTTTAATAAAGGAGTTGATAAATGAACATTTTTCACGTAAAAAACTAAATGATGAGTCTATCCTCCTGGAACAATACTCCATCGCTAAAGAATCTTTTAGATTTTGGCGTTTAACTTGTTTCTGAAATAAACAATTCAATCGAGCATAACTTTTTTTCTTTTTTGCTCTTTCCAAAATTCTTAATCGCATTGTTAAAAGGCCAAGAAAATGACATATTGTGAAATGTGAATGATGTCAGTAGTCTTCAGTGAGCATTACATTTTCATATCTTACTAAACATAACACAATGTATTTTTAAATCAAATCATCCCCAAATAAAATTTATTTAAATTATAAATTAGATAAATTCTATTTGTCTGTGTATATACATTACATGCTTAAAGACTAATATTTAAACTGTGAACAAGGTACTTAATTTTTCTTACATTGTTCTTTAATTTATTAATTTACAATATGCAATATTGTATAATACATTTACACGTGTATTTTCTGAGCTTTATATTACGTTTTTTTAAAGCTTTACTGAAAGTAGTCATAAAATAAGGTTTCAAAAACTATACTTTATAATTACTAATTGATGTCTATATCCACAGAAAACTGACATGGCTACGAATGGAAGATATTTAATCCTTTTCTTTTGAATTTCATCAATCTGTTGTTTTTTTTGTTTTTTTTGATTTTTCATATATGACCATATCAATTTGCAAAGCAGATGAGTAAAGTTGACTGTTTCTGTAACACTTTTTTGCATGAAGTATTTAAATAAATATTTTTAATGGTAAAATGTTTAAATTAAAAATGTTTTCGGGAAAGTACATTGTGATCAATATGGTCATACTTGGAAAACGATGTACTTTGGGGGCAATGACATAGTGAAAATGGTACTTTCAGTGCAGATACACCATCCCTGGTACTGGAACATCTTCACTCACTTTATAAGGTTCTTGTTTGTGCAGCAAATTGCCTCCATTTTGACCACAAAATTGCATTGATTATAAAAATGTTTGTTTTTTATTAATAAAAACTAAGCACTACAATGCAAACATTCACCGAAGGTTGAATGTTTTTTCTTTTGTTATACTTTCACTGATAATTTTAGTAGCTATTTACATTCACTGGGGGGGGGGGGAATTTTCCTCAACATCTCCTTGCACTTAATACCCTTCTCCAAGGATCTGTGTGTGGGTGTATTTTCCCCCAAATATTTTTAGAGAATTCTGAGCTCTAAAAGACACTGATTTTTGTTGAATTTTTGCATATAAATATTTATATGGAAAGTCCAATTGTAGACTATTTAGGGAAAACATAAGACAATAATTTAAACCAAAAATTTAAAGTAACATATTTAAAATTAAATTGGTATACGGATAGCTACAAATGTAGAGATCTTCCCCATTGCAAGGGTCATGCTCCCTTCAAAGAAGGAACTGAATTCGAAACCAAAGTTGTTTGAGACATTAAAGAATCTATAAAACTTTAATGAAATTAAATTCAGCTAAAAAAAATCCATACACAGTGATGAAATTATTATCACCAGCAAAAATTACTGATGGTTAAATAGTAAAATTGAATAATAGACAAATCCTGGAAAGTAGGTGAGTAAAGAAGACCAGAAAAGTCATATTTTCAGCAACTCCAATGTAGAGAAATTGTGGGGGAAAAATGAAATGTTAATTACAGGTGTTTAACTCAAATCCAAAATTAATGAAGATTCGTTTGTATTCCTGTAGAATTGGAAATGCACCACCAGAAAAATTGGAATTTTGAGCAGCAGTCCAGCAGTCCAAATTACAGCACCAATGCCAAACATTCTCTAAATTACACCATTTGTAGCTTACTTTATTAAATAAAATTAAAAAATGTATTCCTTGATAATGTTAAAAAGATTTTAGCAATTTAATGTGAAAATTTTAGTATTCTTTACAATATTTTACCAAAAAAGGATAATTATTTTGTTGTTACCCCAAAAATTATTCTGAATATCACAGAGACTTGCACAATAAATTAATAATTTATTGCAACAATTGAGCATTATACCATTTTCATTGTAAAATAAAATAAGGTTTAACAGAAGTTTCCATATAGTTATGTTAGCAAATGCTACCTAAATTCATTGCTATTAAAATTTGAAATGTATGTAACTAGATCCAACACTGACTACTTTCTTACTGCACCTTATAAACCCTCCCTGATGAAATTTATATGAAATTGCAAACACATATTTAGAGGTGGAAAAAAGGAAAGGAGGCTCAAACCACCCATAATTATTTTATGACATTGTTATTTAATATGTTAAATGTTTACATAAAAAACTTAATTCCAAGCAATATAAGTCAATGATAGTAAATTAGCACTAATGAGTAGCACTGAACAAGGAAGTTAAAGGAAAATGTCAACACGGGATGAGATTTCAAACAATTTCAACACTTCATAACTAATATAGTAATTATTTGAAATTTTACTAGACTGATTTAATGTTTGTTTGATTGAATGAAGAAACAAATGTTTTCAAAGGATACTAATTTTTGTAAGTTTCAATTTGAACAAACAAATCCATAGAGTATGTGTGGTAAAGTAAATGCATTTTAATTTAACCACTGAATTTTGTATTCTTGCAAATAGATTCTTTTTATGAATTTGCTTTAGATACACGTCATACAAAAACAATTTGCAGGTAATGTAATATATCTCCAAACGAGGTGTTTTATTCTTGTTACTTGTAATTAAAATTTCTTTTCTGAATTTGCCCAATTGCATTTACATATTAACTACGTTCGCGAGGTACTTTACCAACAAATAAATTTAATCCTAAAACGACTGAAACCTAGAATCACACACTTCTTTCTTCAATAATGCGGAAAACGTTTCCAATTGCTAGCAATGAATCCATAAATGCTTATTAAAAAAAAGCGCATTTTTTCATGACTTTTTCGTCCTTAACTGGCGCGAAATATGAAGTGTCATTAGTGCATTCAGTCAAATTCACATTCCTCACTTTTCTAACATAAAGACCATCATTCTTTTAAGTAAAAATAAATACGGATAAATACAAAGCGGGATCACCAGACGAAAGTAATACACACAACCACACTTCTTCGATGAGAGGTGGCAGACACTGTCGAGGATGCTTTCCCTTCACAAGCGTTGAATTAAACCTGACGAACTCAACGTACGTTTGGAGAACGTTTGGATGTTGACCACTGTTGACACCATTTACCAGTCACTAATAAGAAATGTCAGCTCCACTTAATATCCTTTTTTCGCGTATATTGCTGTACATAAAACAATAGTGATCTTGGAATAAATTTTTGTTGAGTTCAATGAACTTGTGAAAGCTGTGTTTGGTTTACAATGGTTTGGTGAACCGGTGTATCAATCCAAGATGGCGCTGTGCATTTTAACTGTTTGCTATTGAGATGCATATTTTCGATGTTAAATTTGTTATTTTCGGTCTAGAGAGATTAATAGTAATAAAATAATTATGACATATCGATTATTGCTTGTACGGTAGATGTGTACGTGGATCCGAGTGATGTGTAGTTCGAACGCTGTTGATTAAACAATACCAAGTTTTCGCTCATTGCGGTGAGAGTAGGGTGAGTGTTATTAGAAAGAGTTTGTGAGCATATTTTCGTGTTCGTATTGAGTTTAGCGCTACGAATCCCTTAATAAGAAATTAGTGAATGAACTCTTCGTTAAGCTGAAATGTGCCGTGTTTACACGGAAGATTGTCCTCTCCCAATTCTGTATGAAATAAACTCATTTTTCTTTTACAGATTGCCCGTTTATGTAGCAATATGGGGGTTAATTAATGGTTGATTAATTAAATATATTAATTATCAAAATAAAATGAATTATCGAAATCAACTATACATTATTGTTTATGATGTCTTTTATAAAATCACATTCCATTAATGAAATTTTATGAGCATATTGAAGAGGAAGGGAATTTTACAAAACTATGTCTATGGGATTATCATTGGAAATTGAAATTTAATTATTAATATTTGGAAGTGAGAAGATGGCACAATATTATCAAGTGGTGAATGGAGCTACTTTTACTATTGATGAACTGCGAACTATGTGCCCAAATATTCAGAACTTGCAGTGCATTGACAGTGGAAATGGTAGTATTCAGTACATCATAAATCAAGATGATACAGCGGTACAGTATCACAATCAAGTTATTGGCATTGATCAGACAGGAGCTACTCTACAACTTGAAACATATCAACACCAACCAGTAGTTTTAGATAGCTCCCTGCCACAGCAGTAAGTGTAAAATTATGTTTTTCTGTTTTTAACAGTAGATCGTGTTATTGATTAATGAGATTCTGGAACGATTTACAGATTTACTATTGCGCTTTTAATGCATAATTATGTTCTGTTTGAATGTATTTTTAAACTTAAACTATTCAGAATTAATAAGGCAAGCAACTGATTTATGATTCTAATATCATTTAATTGTTAATACTACTTATGAGAGCAGTAAAGTATAGAATTTGTAGTGCAGTGTATTGTATTGGCCTCTACATATAAAAGTACAAGGTAAATTGTTTTGCCATTATTTTTTCTTTTAATTTGCAAAGAAAAATAAATACTCTCGATCAGAAATAAGGTAAAATAATTCATAGTTGTAGTTTCTTGTGAAACGGAAAATAATATTGTTTATGCAAAATATCACTTACGTATAGATTTTATTGTTTTCTTATGTGAATATGTATTCATAATTCCAATAATCCATGGTTACTATTTTTAACACCTTCATTTTTCTGGAAGTTCCACATTTTATGGTTTGCTGTTTTAGGGGAGTTTATGTAATTGAAGCTGTTGACCCATCTGCTCAAGTTACTGTTGATGTACAAGATCAGCAAGTGATAGCAACACATCATGGAACACCGCAGTTTGTGGTGCAACAACTACAAACCTCAATGCAGCCTTCAAATCAGTCTTCCCAGGCACAAGTTCCTGAACAGCCACAGCAACAACAACAACAACGACAACAGCAGCAGCAGGTGCAACAGTCAATGCCTACCCAACAACTTCAACACTTGCAACGACAGCAGCAACCTGCTCAACAAATTTTGGAGTCAACAGAATCTCAACCACAGACCATCTTGTTTGGTAGACCTCATGGAAGCAATGGCATCACATTGTTGGATACATCTGTTCAGTTAACAACTGCTACCACGCAAGTGTCAGGTGTGATTTCCTGTTACATTTTTGTATTGTTTACCACATAAATAGGATCCCATGGGAAATATCTATTTTATTCTTTAAAATATTTAAATTGATTAATTTTTGGTGAAATACTTTTCCTTTTTGTTTATTTTATATGTAGCTGATAAAGGTATATCTGCTTGGTCAATTGAGGCATTCAAATTTGTTTTGTTCAATTTTTTAAACATTTTTCAAAATATTTTTATTTTAAAAAAAGGAAAGAAAGTAGCTCTTAGCTTACTGACTTGGCTTTCAGGAGATGGCAGGCCTACATTCTTGATTAAAATTCTTAAGAGCCTTATAGAACTGACTCCAACTGTTGGTGTAATCACATTGTATTCCTTCTTACATTCCTACATTTCACTTGCAGGATTTGAATGCTCCCCTCTGTAATCTCTACCCTACAATAATTTTGATTCCTCCCTCTGATGTTTCGGTTGTAACAGATCATCTCTATTTAATAATTATTTTAGTATACTGGGCATTCAATTGTTTGTTTAAAATTTAATCGTATGTTATTCATTTCCTTAGACTCATTGATTAATCATATTATGGTCACAGTTATCTTTATCTTCATAGTTTAATTTTATATTCCCAAGGAGTGATGGTTGGAGAATTCAGCTATCTGATTAATCTTTCTGCCTCATGAATTAAATAGTTGTTTTATTATGCTATCATTATATGCAACTCATTAATTTCCTTGTAAATTACCAGACATTCTTAAGGATGAGTACTATTATTGTTTTCAAATAATACAATTATATAATTTCCTAATAAGAAACAATTGAACAAGTATCACAAGAGTAATAACCTGCTCAAATTGTTGAGTTGAAAATTACATATTTTATATTTTTTAGTGTTAGCAAAGTAATCATCAATACAAAATGTATTTTCTTAAAAACATTGTTGTTTGAGTAATTCTGTTATTCCCATTGTTTTGTAAAGATAAGTAGGCCCTGCGGGGTGAATTGAAATAGATAATATTTGGGGGAAAAAAGAAGTTGGATAGCATCCAGATTTTTATTAACAATCATCATAATCATCATCATCATCATCAACAACTACATCAACTAGAACCAGGCAGGGTTAGGTCAGCATAACTTGTTCTTTTTTCAATCTTAGTATTCCCTTAATATACTTTGGTCTTGTCATCAGGGTTTCGGTCTTCCATGTTCTCTCTAACTTTTCTATGAGAGAATTGCATTCACTTCCTTGATCCATTTCTGCCAATTTCTTTGATAATCTTCTTTCTCTGGAACTGTATTCTTTGTTTTCATTCTCCTTCATATATCCTGGCTTGTAACTGTCGTTTCTCTTAATATTGGAAATTGATCTCTTATATTTAATTTGTGCATCTTTTACTCTGTTCGTTTCTCTTCTTCAGCACCTGTGCTACATGCTTTGTATTGGTTTTGTTTGTACCAACTAATGTTGATTTAGATACTGTTAACAGATTACTGAATTGTCAACATTATTAGACTTTTCTTTTAACATATTTTTAAATTTATTTATTTATTAATTTTATGTTTGTGTTGTAGTTTGTGTCTAACAAAATCAATATTTTTACAGATACTGAAAATTCTGTTCACAAACCTTTGGTAATGACTGAATTAGTTCATTCATCACCAAGAACATACAGTAATGTTGCAAAGTTTCAAGGTGAACAGGCTGTGCAGAAAGTTCAGACACACTTAATTACTTCCGTGAACCAGCTACAAGGAAGTTACATTGAACTTTGTAATGGTCAAAAGGTATTACCACATTTTATTTCATGTTTTCATGAAGATAGATCTTTTAGTATTAGAACTGCACATTATAAAGATTAAATAATTTTATTTTCTATCATTGGTTGGTATCAATTGGTTTCTTATATACAATCAACTCCAAGATCACTAGACTTGAAAATATACATATTCGACCTGTTATGGGATCTTTTTAGATGTAAATGTATCACAGCTGTTTTAGTATTTCTATATTTATTACAGTTATCATTATTGTTGTTGTAATAAACTGAAGTGCACAGTAATGAATCTATACTTCTTGATTTTGATTTGTTTGTTCATTATAATAGGATTTCAAAAAACAGTAAAGCCCCTCTTTTTCACTATTCAAGGGTCTGAGAAAAAAATGGTGTAAATCATGAAAGCTAAAATGGTGGAAGAGGTGGGAATAGAGTGGAAGCTACTTTTGCTTATATAATGAAATACAAAATGTTAATTCTTTGAGTTTATTAATAATATTAATCATCATTGAAAAAACATTGGGCTTCTTAGGCTGTGCACTTGAAGACACTCTTAATTGTAATGTTTTCTAACTTTTCTAGAGTACAAATATTCTGTTATTAAAACAATGAGCACCCAAACTCTACCCCAAAATTAGTTACCTTACAATATTAAAAAGTGTAAAGTTCACTATCTTGTGAGAGAAAAGAAAATGGCACGTGGAAATAATGGCACTCACTCTTTGCAATTGTTTCAACAAGAAGGTTGTTTGATAAAGAAGAAGAAAAATGTCCATTGCAGAATCAGGGACATAGTAGCAAAATTGAAAGTGAGGTGTTAATTTATATCATCAAGTATTAATGGGGATGCATTGGCTAAATATAAAATATTACTCAAATGTACGCAATGCACAACACATTAATAATTTTCCCTTATTCTGATAATAGAATTTAAAGTGATAACTCCCAGACCAGGAGAGATTGAGTAATTTTATCTTCACAGTCAAAAATTTCCAGACCTTGATGAGAACAAACATACAAAATCATTAGTCATCCTGTTCTCTTTGCGTTTGTGCAGTCAATGGAAGAAAGTGTCAAGGCAAGAAATTTGAATTTTGAAAGTGTTAAGTGGATAATTTTACATAATGAATGTAGGGAAATTGAAGGGACCGAGGAAAATCATTGTAATGGTAGGGAAATGCATTTCAAGAATGTCAAAGTGCCGTTGCTGTAGAATATTTGAACGAAGTTTGTGAACCTTACATTTAGTACCTTCTGCAGTAAGGGAAAATTACTAAATTACTACTATCAGAATACTAAGCTAATTGGGTCATATTATCAACCTGTGAAATTTTCAATGTTTTAAAATGGAGTGAAAATGCCATATTCTAAACTTAATACTTATTTATTTATTTACTTTTTGTTCATAGAAAGTAATTTTGCTGAGAGAAATAAAGGATTTGTTGGTGGAGGTGAAATCCTCACAAACTTCTTGTACTTAATTTAATCAAATCAGGAAATTAATTAATTTGTTCATTGGACGGTTGTTGGGAAAGGGTCAGTGTCTTAAGTTTAGTTGCTCCTTCCATGCACTTAAATGAGTCAATATGTGAATATAGCATTTTATTTGTGTTATATACTATTTGAAGTACCGTGCGTGACCTGACTATTTATTCATCATTATTAGACAGGAAAAATAATGAATTCTACCTAGAGTGAAGTTCCCTACCTGAACCTTACCCTCTGTGCTATGATCATCATTGCTCTGGGCATATGTAAACTGGCACCCCTGGCAAACTTCTCCAAACAATTTAGTCCTTCTGTTTCTCAAAGCCTACTTGTGCTGTCAGAATGAATCAAAATGCATTTTGTAGAAAATATTATCGGCTTTAATTCACTTAAGAGAATTTATACACACTCCTTGAGATATTTACAAAAAGCACAAAGAGTGCACATTTTAATTTTGCTTTAAGGAATAGGCAAGTGGGAAAGAGTTATTTTCTATTGTAAATGATAAATGAACAAAATTTTATTGGCATTTAAAGCATTCTTCTTTAAGTAATAATCTAGCCAAACATATGCATGACAAAATACTCTACCTTTCTCCTGACCCATCAGAGAGATTTAGCTGTTCCTGAGATAAGCTTGGACAAGCAGACAAAAATCATTTAAATATTTGAATGGGTTTTTATATCATCTATCTGTCTTTATCTATATATCTATAAAAAAGTGACACAAATGCAAAATCGTCATTTTTCAGCTAAAAACTGATAAGAGGTTACCAAGAAGTACTGCTACTATTCTGAAGTTGATTTTTGGAATTAGTTTAATTACTGTCTGCTAGAAGGTGAATATTTAGTAGAATCTTTAATGAGTATAACAGAACTACGAAACTTAAAATTGCAATTTCTGAGAAATCAGAAATTCGCACTTGTGTCACTTTTCTATTGGAGGTGCCATTTTATTATCCATAAGATAATAAAATGGCAGTTATTGTGAAATCAGAGATAAATGCTTGAGTTTTATTCTTATTGATTTCAGTTGAAGCAAATAAAACGATTGCTACCATTCTGTGAAACAGTAACAGTGATGAATCAGACTGACTGAAAATAGAGGGGCTTTGGGAATTTTGACCAATTTAAGTTCTCTATACTGATTACAAATTAAGATTAGAATGCTCTAATCAGCTGTTTTATAGTGTTAAACAGATGCTGGCCTTTTTAAAAACATGAGGCAACATTCTGTTTAGAACATTAGAAAATTTCAAACAGGATTATTTATTTAGTACAGCTGATATCTGATTTTAATGAAAAGTTTTAACTTTATTTCGTTCTCTCAAAAGAGAGCACCAAAAATAAAAAGTATTAGTTTTATGAAGCTCTAATTCTTAATAATCTGTAATAGATACCAGTTGGTGGGGACTGGCAACATCTTCAGTCGCAACAGCAGTTGCAGTTACAACAACAACAAGAACATCAACAGCAGCCACCTCTTCCACAGCAACAACCTCAGCAGTTGCCACAACAAACTCCTCAAACTGTGCAATCACAGACGCAGGAGGTACAACAACCTCAACTCCAACAACAGACTCAGTTACATCAACAGTTGCAGCAGGCTCCACAGATTCAGCTGCAGTCCCATCAGTTGCAACAACAGTTACGCCAACACCGTCAACAAGTAACTACTTCTACGCAACAGTCTCAACAATTGCAGCAGTCAGCAAGACAAATAGTTGCTCAAGAAAAGACTCATTCTCCACAGAACAGTCAGAATAATCAAACTTTGCAACATGTGAATGCTGCAACTAGTAAGAGATCAGATCATGTGGGAGTTATTACAATCACTTGTCAGGACAATGGTACTGTAGGTGTTACTCCAGTAAATCGACAGCAACAAATTGTTCCCAATCAGCGACGACAGCAGCAGCAACAGAGGCGTCCCCAAACATCTACATTACATATTACACCAGAGGGACAACTTTTATTGCAGCAACAATTACAACAGCAGCAGCAGCAACAATTGCAATTGCAGCAGCAGATACAAAAACCACAGGCACAAATACAAGCATCACTTCAACAACAACAACAACAACAACAACAGCAGCAGCAGCAGCAGCAGCCACCACAGCAGCTGCAGCCACAAACACAGACACAGCCGCAACCACAGCAGAATCCACAGCAAATGCATCAACAGCTTGTCCAGCAGTTACAGCAGCAACCTCAACGCCAACAGCAGCAGCAACAACAACAACAACCACAACAGCTGCATCAACTGCCACAGTCTCAGCAATTGCATCAGACAGTCCAGCATGTGGAAGAAAATAAGGAACATTTGGTAGTACAAACTTCACCAAGGTAAAGTGACATTCAGTTCTGAATTTCTTTTTTTTCTTTTCTGTCTTCAAAGAAATGTCAGTTCAAAGATTGTGAATGATTGATTAGTTCCTTAATTTACATTGGGAGATTGAATATATTTGCAAGGAGGCTTCCACAATTGTCTTGTGAATGTCTTGTTAGGAAAGATTTCCTTCAAATTGCTTTTTTGTAGGAAATGTTCATTTTTTAATTAACACTTTTAAATGGATTTAAAAATAATTAATGTCTATTTACTAAGTTAAAATGATAATTTGTATTCAACTGTTACAAGTATCATTGTCTAAAATAAATGGGTCCATGGGTCCTCACCCAGAGTGGAGAATGAAAAAACCGGATTGCTTGCTTAAATAGAAAAAGAGGGTTCTGAACTTAAACAAAGGTGTTCTAGTATGTCTTGTACTCTCTTAGAAAGTGGAATAGAAATGGCCACCCTAATAAACTTGTTTAGTAGTTTTAGTCATTTGTTTCTATTATATGTAATATAATATATGAAAAGTGAGCTAACTGAATCCCACATCAATCAATAACAACTGTTATGAATAATGATACTATCTTCAAATTTTATTTCATTCATTAGACATTTTCACTCTTGATATTTTATACAACCTTCACTTTATTTTCTCATATTTTATGCAGTATTTTTGAAAACGAAACTTGCCAACTCGCTTTCATGCTAATATAATTTACAATGAAAGTTATACAGTAGAGTAAAATATTTTGTTTGTAGGCACTCATTTTTGTCATGAGAGTGGTCGCACAATCACACTTTCCTTTTGCAAATAAAAAAAAATCTTTGAAACTTATAACCCAGGCCAACTTCTTTATTTGAGTTTTTAACTGACAATGATTCTGTTGTTAAGTTTCAAATATTTAATCATTTACTTAATTTTTATAAGTTTTGAAATAGGAAAACAAATTCCAAATTTTACTTCTTGTAGAACTGAGCACACATGAAATACAGATATCCTATATCTATTAATAAATTTAATAAGCTGAACTGAGTGCTTCTCTTCCTGTACTTTTCATATTGAAGCCTTGAATTTCTTGAATTCTTATACCATTCTGCATTCAAAGTTTAAATAAATTACATAAATGAAATTAAACAAATTTTGAGAACTGTTTTATTCTGAAATCCTAGCAAGGCATTTTGTCTTTATCCATTGCTAGCTTTTGTTGTTACAGCGTGAAATGTTTAATCCATGCTGTTTATAATTATTATTAATTATAATTATTGCACATTAAAGAAATTAAACGTTCCTACCTAATAGGGTCTTACAAATCTCTGTCGTACTTGAAAACTTCCAGAGATTGTTCCTGTCCTCTTCCCAGAAATTCTGAAAACTGCCCTTCCAATTGTGGAGCCTTAAAACTCTTGCGTTTATTTCTGTTAATTGTGGATGAGATGCAAAAAAGTTCTCGGATTATTTGCTTTTGGAAGTGAACATTTTTAGAAAGTTGCAAACAAATTATATTTTAATTATTAAACTGGTTTATCTTGCTTCACTAATTTAATATCACAATGTGAAAATATTGTATGATTGAAATTGTATTGCAGACCCAATCAGTATCCTGCTGCACGCCGAACTTATATGAACAAGCCTCGTCCTCGTACCCATAACAATTTGGTAGTGAACAATACTGTGCAAGCTATTGCCTCCCCAACGAGTGATCAACATCAGAACATCTTGCAACATGAGTGAGTAAAAGATAGTTTTTGTTTTTAATTTTCATTGTTATTTCTATTTCTGATTATCTGGAGTTACTGTCTTCATAATTATCACAGCATTGTTCCCCTGTAGGCTTTTGAAGAAATGACTGTTTTGGTAGGTCAAGTGGTTAGAGCAATAGGGTGTATTCCAGGAGTTAGATCTGGGCTTGATTCCTGGTCAGGACAGTTATTTTTGAACATATCTAATGTTTATAACTATTTTTCTGTGAGGTAGACATACATTTAAAATAGTGGTTGGCAGTTGCAATGCAGGAAACATGTTCCTTAAGATGGGATTAGACCAATAAATCAGACATAAGAATTTACATATATTATATTACATTATAAAATTCTTGATCTTGCACAATGTTTCGACCCTAGTATGGGGTTTTCTTCAGGTACAAGTAACTCACTAACAAATTGTAATACAATAAAAACTTGCTACGTAACATTAATATGTGTCAATATATATCAATCCTATTATGTTATGCTTTGGATATAACTAGGTTGTAACATTTTTGGCATTTATAGTATATATACATTCCGTGAACCTGACTTTAACTCTCCGTCAGCAATTAATTATATATTTGGTCACAACCATGCAGTATAATTCATATAGCTAATGCTGCACATAAATTGCTACACCTATAATTGGGTGACCGAATTTTGTGTCATATTATGATAGTTACTATGTTATATCACCAATCTTTCCTGATTTTTTCTCTATCTTGATGACTTTACTATAATGTTATATCCTAAATGAGCTTTGTGCAGCCATATCGAGGTAGGCCGCCCCTCTTTTTATTTAAAATCACAATTGTTAATATATACTGTGGCGTCACTGTATTTTAGTAATTAACACACGACAGCCCTCGTTGATTTGAACGGCGGCAGTCGTCTCGCGCCCGCCCGTTCCTCTCTTTCTTCGTGAGCGTCTGCAGTAAAAGGCAGGCGCTGCCCGCCGAGACCCCACCCCCTCTGTTTACGGAGGCCGAGCGCCAGGCAGAAGGCAGCTGCGCCCTTCGCCCATCCCTCGCACGCCCACCCGCCGAACCTAGCGACGATTAACCGATAGCAATGGGAAGTTTGAGCCACCACGGCAAGATCACGTACGCATTGGAGCCACGTGCAATTAATAAACGGATTGAGGAACAAGGATGGAGATCAGGGAATTTCCCAGAAAGAAACCCGAAGGCGCCTTCTGTGATTGGCCGAGGTTTAATTGCGGCGGAGTTAGCTGGCACCAATAGTTGAGCGAGTTCATTAAATTGCAGAGCGATCTAGAACTTTCTGGGGGAAAATGTGGGGAGAGTAGGGATGAAGGAGATACTCTACCGTCTGCAGAACCTTACTTCCCATTTAGACGTAGTACGAATCGGACTTATTTGGCCTTAACTGCGTAAGGGGCACTTCTGTTTTGACTGCCCGTCGTGAAATGAGTGGCGACCTGAAGATATCCAAATGTTCTAATTTTCAGGCGGCGCTAGAAAAAGAAACAAATGTGCTGTTTTTTGTTGTCACATTGTTCCTGCTTGCGTAATTCCGTGATTGAATGACAGTGATTGAAGTTTTTCAAATTACCTAAAGCGGTTTTCGGAACGCTACTTTTCCGGCGAATTGTACTAATTGACGCGAAAATTGAGAAAGATTCGAAACCCCAGCTATGAGCACCTGCTGAAGAGGCAACTCGCCTGCGTGCCTGCCGTGGTGGTGTGTGTGTGGCGCGAGGGCGCGGGATTTCCCGGCGAACGCTGCTACCTGCGGCCGGGGCTCGCATCGCCCTCGGAGACGGCAGCCTGCTCCGCCTGGCGACCTTCCCGCCCGGAGAAACTGAACCCGGAACAGCTGAATGGGGTCGACGACACCGACAACGGCAAACCCGCGAGGTCATCCACCGAATCTGGCATGGTTACGTGTCGAAACGTCAGGCAAAAATTATAAACAACTTTAACAAAAATAATAATAGTAACGGTAAATCTCTTTTTATTTTTTGTGCTTATTCAGACATTAAACTAGAGAAGTTATGTTCACTGAATAACTTCTTTTATTTCCCTATAACAACGTCCATCCTTCTACAGTCACTTGCAGGTAACCAGCAGCAGTCAAAGAGCTAGCTGGCGCATTTGACGTTCAGTTAGAGGTGTGAGCGTTCCAATATTGATGTTACATAGTCGTTTTTTGTTGAATTTTAGATTGACCTTCACATTTTTGTGAGTTTTTGTTTGTTCCTGAAGAAAACTCCATACTAGGGTCGAAGTATTGTGTATGATAAAGACTTTTGTAATGTAATAAAATATATGTAAATTTGTGTGTCTGTTTTATTAGCCTAATCCCATCTTAATCCATCACAGTCAAATATTAATTTTTATATTCCTTTATGTGCGAGCTAACAACAGCAACATGGTGGTGAAACCTGTATTTATCGAATTGACAAGAGATTGGAATTTTGATAGAAAACTTGAATTTGGTCTTTAAGTCCTTTAGACAGTGCAGTGTGTTAAAGCACATTGACAGCAACGTATTTTAATATAAACTTTTCTCTGTAAAGACATTACACTATTCTGTGCCTTAAAATCTTTTGGCTAATGGGATTAATTGTTTAATCCACTATTTCAGTGTAACACTTGTTCTCAAACTATGAAGATTTGTATAAAGACACTGACTTTAATTTGTGCATCCCATCTAGAAAATGTCAGTTTGGCATATACAGCTGATTGGATAGTTGCCTTCATTGTTTTTAAACTGGGTAAAGAAATTAGTGACAAAGATTACGATCTAATATCTTTCACTAGCAGACTGGAGTTGCGGATGCTTTAAACTATTTCAAAATTATTTTCATACTTTGCAAATTTCTACTATGTATGTTCTAAATAAGAAGAAAATTTAAACATACAGTTGTTTAGTTTTTCATCCTTGAGTGTAAAAATTTGAAAAATTATCTATTAAGAATTATAAAAACAAAAAATATGTGTATTCACAGCTCTTCGTGTTGAATGTTCTTTCAGACTATGGACACTACCCATTCTCATAAGTGTTCAAAAACATAATGTGAAAGCTCCCAGAAAAGTTGCTCTAAAGAGTATTAAAAAATTAGTTCTGAATATTATCAGATGGCTTATAGAAGAAAATTAGATAATTTGTTCATTTGCAAACTCCTGTCCCAGAATATTGCATTTCATTTTTGTGGATTTATATTAGATTATAATTTTGCATTTGAAATTATCATACAACACATTTTATTAATAATGATATGAACAAATTTGTTCCCATAGATTCCTAAATTCTGACATTGGTTTAGCAAATGTTTCATAATAATGTTACTTTCATGTTCAAAAATACCCAACACCTAATAGCTCGCCTTCATATTGAAGATACACTAACAGAAAATAAATAGTACAAAGTGTTATACAATACAGTTTATTCTTAAACAAACTAATGAACTTAACTTAAAATTAACACACATTTTATTGCAATATTTTGGTGAGGTGTTTTGTCATTATAGATAATTATAACCGCACCACTATTACAATACAATCTAATGTAATAATACTATACAATTGACAGAATTTAAAAAAAAATGTATGTTTCATGCATTTAAATTGGATATTGTTGGATTTAAATATTGTCTGTCTTATAAGTCATGAGCAAAGGATTCCTATTATGCTGGAAAGGCAGTAACCCACAACAGTTCATTTGTCTCAGTTGGTGGATGGGAAGGGGTCTTAACCATGAGCGTTGGATTGCTTGAATACTCTTTAAGTTTATGCACCATTAAATTAAGAGATGTGCTCTACATATTTTAATTAACTTCCTCGACTGTTAATTTTTATTTTTAGAGTTTTTTATTTATTATTTTTTTGTACCAAGTAATAAATGTCACATATGTTATTATGAAGTATTTGTAGAGTAGTAATATATGAAATCAATTACATATTACTTGATTTTACAGTGCCAAGGAGATACAACATCAGGCTTCTCGAAACACATCCATCGCCAATGCCACCACTGCCATTACCTCTACTCCAACCATTACAACCACTCCACCTACCACAACTACAACACAGGTTCTGGTTCTTCTGCCAAATGGAGAGCAACAAATAATAAATGTTGAAGATTCTCCGGGATCCAATGTTTGTCTCAAAGATATTTTGGGACAGGTGTGTGGTAACGACTTTTTAATACAAAGTTCAATAGTGTCCTGTAGAATGTAGTGTAAATTTGAATGTACATTTTAACATTTTTCAGATTGGTATAAATTTAGATTCCAATATGACTATATCAAGTGCTCCTGATCTTACTACTGACCAACAAGTTTTAACAAAAGACATTCTTAATAGAAACACCACAATTGATCAGCGTTTACAGGTAATCATACTTTGTGTGGTCTTAATAGCAAATTATTTATAACATATTACACAACATCCATCTTGATCACTAATGTTACTAGATATTTTTGATGGTATCCAAATATACAATTTTTAAATCTTTATTTTCTTCAGGACCGTGTTGTGGCACCCGGTAAAACAATAACTACAGGGACAGCTTCATTCAAAACAATTACTGGATCTCAATCTGTTTTACAGCAAATGATGTAAGTAAAAATGCTTTTGTTTGTTTTGTTTTTTACCATTGAATGTGCCTGTTGTTGTTCTGGTGTCTCCCCCTTACTCTTATTCCTGACCTTTCTCTTTCCCTGTTTCTCTCCTTTTCTCTCCTCTATTCTGTCCCGTTTCTCTCCCATTATCTCTCTACCGTTTCTATCCCATTTTTCTCTCTTGTAGGTAAAGTAAGTAAAATATATTTCAAAAAACACAAATTAAACAAGATCAGCAATAACAATCATATATTTTGAGAACATAACATTTCTTTTTCTTACCACATGAGAAATAATGAAATTGTTAAAAAAATCATTAGCGTTCTACATATAAGTAATTAGTTTTGCGTAATAGAAAAGGAATTAAAAATGCGTTTCAGATTGCTCATACAGTTCTCTTAATAAAATTATATGGATTTGAGTTGATTTCAATGTTTAATATATATTTATTAATGTCATAAGTAAATAAGTGAGTAAAATAAAGTATACATTCCAAGAACCCTAGCATTTGGAAAATTAAAGATAACAGATTTCAAATGAAATACTCTTTTTAACAACTAAACTATGAATTGATTTCTACCTTGTGTCGGTAAAATCCACTCCTAAAATGTAATACTGATATTATGGCTGAGGTTCAAATCTGGCTAATTTTTGAATTAGCTAGATAATGTTCACGTTATCCAAAAGAGATGAATAAAGCCTGAAGTAGGAGCAGCTTCAAAGCATACTTCAGATTTAGCTGGAAAGTGCACATTAGGCAACATGTGGCTCAGTGAGGTATGTTATGATGTTGAGTACTAGCGGTTATTATGCGATAAACAGGATAGCTTCAAAGGCTAGTGAAGGACAAGGTGTGTAGCACAAGTTCCACTCTGCCGGTTGTAAATTTAGGTCTTTACTTCTAGAATTGGCCAAAAAATTACCAAACACCCTTCAAATTTTCTGAACCTGATTTCATTCCTTTCAAGGTTAGCACAATCTCCTTGTCCTTCCCCCTCAACTTCCCTCCATTAAGAAAAATAAATCCATTAAAAAATAACCCCATAAAAACCCTCTTGAAAAATATGAGACATTATTTTATAAAAAACAAAAATGTTATAATTTTTATTTATAAAATATTGTTACAAAAGAATTTAACATTTTATAAATGTATATTATACTCATTTCGAACATAAATTGCAAACTTTTTGATCTAAAACATGTCCTCGTATTGATGATTATAAAAATCTAATACTTTTAATGAAAATTACAGCTCTATTCGTTCATCGGGTTGTTTTTTATGCTGGACCTACCATCTTGGTAATAATAATAATATTGCATAACATATTGGGAAGAATGGTTGTGTCCCTTTGTTTTGTATTTTTATGATAATGAAAGAAATGTGTACATTTAACGCAAATTAAATTAATAAATAAACAGTAATCAATTATGAAATGCATAAGTGCATTCATTTTAAATTTAGCCAAATTCTCAAGTAAGAAATTTGTAATCATTTTCTTTTTAAACATACGTCATCTTAAATCTGAAAATGGTCAAAAGGGCAAGCAATTTCCAAAATTTCATTTTCAAAATACATCATCTTTGTTCTTCAAATTCAATAGCATAAATTAAGGAGGAAAAACCATAATTTCATTGGTTAAAATTTCAGCCATAATTAATGTTTGTATATCCCATTATTATAGAAATATTTATAGACATGCTTAAACAACTTTTTTCTTCAAAAATAGCTCCAAAAATGTGTATACAAGATGGGGATTTACTCTTCTCTAATGTTTGCAAAGAAATATTTTGGTTCTACCCTTAGGAAATCGAAAAATTGAGGAAGTGCGAAAAAATGATCTTTAGGCTATGATGGCAGCTGGGAAGAAGGTGAAGCAGAACCAAAAAGCTAGCCCAGACCAAAGAGATTAGAAAACTAATTAGTTCGAGGTCTGTGCCATTCTGTAGCACCATTAGTTCATGAAAACGAGTGATGCACTTGTAAACGTCAATAACACACTTTATTCACTTAATGTATTTCTGCGCCTCTGTCGTCAGTTGGTCATATTGTGCTATTTGGCTCGTTCTTGTAATTCCTGAAGATACTCTTTCTGCCGTCATCCAATGATTCTGATTTAATTTTCCTCTACTGTTTCTTCGTGGTACAACCGGTTGTCTGGTTCTCCGGATAAATTTACCTGAACTGGTTATTTAAGCGAGTAGGATTCCATGTGAGCACAACTCTACAGCAATGCATGTTCTGTTGGGGGGCACAAGTCCCCGGGGTGGGCACCTCCGCACCCCCCCCTGCCGCACATGAATGACAACGGGCCTATATCCGGGTCCGGCCGGAACCCAGTTTGCCCTCAACGGCAACCTTCCCATTCAATGTACGGGTCGGGCCGCCTGCCAGCTCAGAGCTCACAGCTTTCCAGGCTAGTACCGGAGTCAATAATGTCATAAGACAACGCGCCTCTCACATGCGCAGGGACACAGAGTCTCTCCTCGATGCCCAGAGTCTTGGGGCATGGCCTCGACGAAGACAAGAGCCCACTGGGGGCCACCCGAACGTTCGGGCGGTTCGAGGTACCCATTTCCCGTCTACTCACTGCCTACACCTTTATGCTACCGACGTGATCGCCGAGTACCTAAGTAACCTAACGGTAGGTAATTTTCCGTCGGACTTTTATATGTGGATTCCAGAGCATTTCGAAGAAACTCCTTTACCCAATCCTACCCAAAGGTCGGCGCGCAGAGGCCCGACTGGTGGGTTACCGGATAAACGGCAATCAGGATAATTCCTCTACTCACTGCCTCCTCTTTGGAACTAACGGCGTGAGTGAAACTAAGGGTCCGGGTGGTCGTCTACACCTCCATCAGCGACCGTGCCCACCTACGCACGATGTCCCCTGCGGCGATTTAAGGGAGTTGCCAGTAATAAATTGAGTGAGTGTGAAAACTTGTAAATCATGTGGGTCATTAGGTAAAGGGTTTAGGAAACGCGAGTTGAACACCGTCTCGATGTCGCAGAGGAGGTCGGATATCCCTTCTATAGCCAGTACACAACATTGAGTTCTCAGTCAACAAATACCTCTACATTACTTTGACTACGACCTCCCATACCACTTGAAAGAATGGTGATCTAGGAGAGATTAACTGCCATTCAGTTGTCTGATCTGCTAGGTAAGCAGATATGCTTAACTTTTCTGAGAGGACTGAACTTCGTGTAAAATGGTTACTGCACCAATAATGCCGCCAGAAATATCAGTAGTAAGCTCCTATGCAAGTTCCAGAAGAACTGCCTTTGTACTGCAACAAGTGAATACAGCTACGTAGCTCTTGACAGGAACCCTACCTCTTCGTCGGATTACTTTCCCTGATACTTGGCCAGCATAATATATGCCTATAGTAAAAAAGTATATGGTGCAGAAGCCTTTCCCTTGTTAAGTCTCCCATGTGCACATTTGAAACTGTAGAGTTGACGCGGAAACATTTCTTGACTGCCTTTCTTGCTTCCTTCCTCCCTCTGACGGCCCAGCTTCCCTGACGAGTTGCATGTAGCAGCTTAAGGTGCTCTGGAGTACAATGCTTAAATCGCCTATGTTCTTTATCTATGTTATCTTAAATCTATGTTATGTAATCATGGCGGTGTTATAATTTGCAGTTAGGAGAATTGAATATTTGTGCTGTTTAGTCAGTGGGGACTGTCGAAGCCTACCTCCTACCTTGATCAATCTATCGCTGACCATGAACGGACTAAGTGGTCTGAACAAGCATGTTTCCGGAAGATCCTGATTATTTAATTAGAATTTCCGAAGTTTCTGATTGTGTTAGTAATACATTTTCTGCCCTTTGGATCTCAACTGATTTCAGTGGCCGGTTTTGTTCTAATTTTCTCGCCATTTATTACTTTAATTTTACTTATTTAGTCAAAAAACAGTAAAAGCTATATGTTACATTATAGAGGTATACAATCTCTTCCATATATTCTAACTACAAATAGTTAACGATAAATAAATTTAAAAAACAGGTTAGCAACAATAGAAAACTACATTAAAAATGAATATCTGGTAATAAGTTTGTTGAGGCTGCGAAATATTCCTTTGATAAATTGGGAGAGCATTAGTAGAAACTGCAACGAACATCGCCTTTTCCATCGAAAGTCTCATCAGACGGGAGTGTTCCGGAAAAGAAACTATATATAATTGATAAAAATTGTTACTTTGCCGAAAGAATCAATAAGTATTGAAGAGATTGTCCTGGTTTCTTCTGTCCAGACGAAATTAAACGTTTTTGTTACAAATTTCACGTTTTACTGCCCGTTAGATTGCAGAAAAGTGCTGGGAATTGCCTGGTAGCGCTCTGAATCGAATTTTGAATGCCCCCAAACACATTTCACGTAGAAACTGCTCACGGGTCCTCTGATTTTCATGACAATGCGAGTCCGCTGCATCTAAAGTGGATTGAGCTGGATTCCGAGAAATCTGACAATGAGAACATATTTCGTCGCGACCGCCCAGGAGCTGAGGCGATATTTGGTGACGCTCCGAACTAACAGGAAGCAGTTGACAATCGGCGTCAAATAACTTAGTACGAAAGAAATGAATATTTGGTCAACTGGGAAGGAATTCGCGTGCCTTTTTTTTAGTAAAATTAGATTGAGTAAATCTTGAAACCGAGAAGTTTGAAATGCATGATCTTTTCTTCTGAATTGATTTCAACGATTAGCGAAATTGAGCTGTTTGAAGCTTTGCGCAAAATTTGAACTAATTTGGCGGTTAATGTGCCCACAAAGCTCTTCATGACAATCTTCTATAAGAATGTAATGTTACTAGTCATCGTCACTGCCAAGGTCACTGTTCCAGTTTTTAACTCAGACAAGTCAGTACGCCTTAGCAGTTTGCTTTGGTTATGGACTCCGTGATCTGAACCAATGGGATCCATTGCACCAGAGCATCTCTTCTCCTAATTCTGATAAAACCCTTTGGATAGCAGGTCAACTGGATTTTCTGCTGAAG